GCAATCCACTCACCTCAGTCTCCCAAAGGCACGGGATTACAGGCTGAGCCACCGAGCCCGGCCACTTATTACTTCTATGTGCCTGCGCTTTAGGGTTTCTCTGGTACCTGAGGGTTTAAAGAGCTGCCTTCGCATGAACCACAACAGCTCACAAAGGAAAGAGACTTGCTTCTCTGTTAGTGCTTCTGAGGCTTCTAAGGTCTTTCCTATGGTCCAACTAAATAATCATTTCTTAGGCTACCTATGGAATAAATTGAAAGCTTAAGTTTGATGGTTTTTTTGGCGAAAATCAGGCTGAGTCTTTGACCTAGTGAGATGGATTACTGTATAGAAATACCTAGATCTGGGTGAAGCCACGTGGAATTAGATGAGAATGAGAAAAGTCCATAATTTCCTGCTGCTTGTTTATGCAAATCTTACAGATGCCAACAACCTCATCCTGTTAGTTTGCTTTCCTCTGGTGCAGCCCTGGACACCTGTATGCAGGCTTTCTAACCACTTTGGTTTGAGAGTCATGCAAGAAGTATGTCTGGCCTGAGACAAAAGGGCTTGTGGCTGACTCTCTAATTATTGACAGGCCCAGAAGCTTAGATAGCACTGTTCCTGGGGAAAGAGTTAACACCATTCCACACCTGGATAATTTTGGTGGCCATTCCTTTGATTTCACCACACTGTATCTACTTTCTTATGTCTAGTACATTCTTCCGTGGTAGTCAGAGTAATTTTTATAAAATGCAAATCTGGTCCTACCACCTTTTGCATGCTTCCCTGCCCCCAAACTTAAAGTCTCTCAATGACTTCACTGTGTTCTTAGGAGGTCCTGTGAGGACCTGTTCTGGCCATGTCTCCTCACCTTCTGGATGTTTCCAACATTCTTTACATATGCCCTCTTCCCTCCCACATCACGACATTTGTATCTGCTTGTCCAGTTTCCACTCTGCCCCACTGTCTTGTCATCTGGTCAATTCCTTTAGTTCTGAGCTGACATGTTACTTCTGGAGTAGTTGAGGTAAAATTAACTGCTGGAAAAGATAAACCCCCAAGACTGGTGCCTTAACCTAGTAGAAATGTATTTTTCACCTACAGCACAGTTCGATACTGGTGTTCCAGAGTCATCTCCATTCTATACGTGGAAGGTGTTGTCAAAGATTTGTGATGGGTCAGACCCAGGAGTGACTTCCATCAATTCCACTGACCAGAGAAGTACCTGACTTCATCTATATGCAAAGGATACTGGGAAATGCAGTCTACCTGTGTGCCTGTAAAGTGGAGGAAGTAATTTTAAGAGAACTCAATGCGGTTTCTGCCACAGCCCCCTCCCCTCATAGTCTGCTCCTTTCCACATGCCCACCTCCCACTCCCCACCTAAGGTCCTGTTCTTGATGGCATTTATTACAGTTTTAATTCACACACATCGCTGTGATTCTTTCATTCATCCTTGTCGCCTCCACTTGGCTTCGTGGGGTCAGGGATACCCATTTTACTGGCAGTTTAGGTGCTCTGTAAATACTTGCAGTAAAAATGAATGAATCAATACATGCCCCAGTATGCATGCAATCTCTCTACAGAAATCATCTTCCTCAACATATTTGAAAGCACAGGGATGTAAAGAAGTCCTTGTGCTTTCATTCAGTAAACAGCCAAGGGAGATCTTGATTTGGTCAGAGTTCAAAGTGAGCTTTTACACTTCTGTTTTTCATTTTCCTTTCTAAAGAAGTGCTTAGAAAACCAACTGGGTCATGGGTTTTCTTGTCATCTCAGTTCACAATGGATGAATAAAGAGTGGAATTCAGGACAGACAGACACCAAGACACAGGTACATTTCTAGGCCTCTCCTTATACCCCCCCCGAAAAGTAGAAAAAATCCTCAAGCCTATGGTAGTCTAGAAGTCAACAGACATCTAAATACTGCAAATCCAGGCTCTTGTTTATCATATTTTTTTGTGTCATTCCTTCCATAGAGAACATAGTACCTTCTATTAACCAATCCTCACTGTGGGTGTAGACAGCCCTGAACTTGTGGTCAGCCCAGTCAGGCTTTGGCCGACTCAGTCACTAGTGCTGGAGTTGTCCAGGGAAAGAACTGCAGCTTCCTCTAGCCTCAATCTTTCCCTCTATAAAATGGATATTAATTAAGCTCCCAATCTGGGAGGAAGGGATTGAAAGCCACCTGTATG